ATCTCTTGACCTCGTGATCCAACCACCTCGGCCTCCCAAAGTGCTGAGATTACAGGCGTGAGCCACTGCGCCTGGCCAGTTGCTCAATTTAATAAGAGGTAATTGATTAATTTCTGTTTGCATTGTAGTCAGGAAACTGGAGAGGGCAGCAAACTATAGGAGATTGTGCCCCAACCCTTGCACCCCATCCAGACCTCCCTATCAAGTTTCACGGCCACTAACCTGTCTCAATCATTTCTGACAGAAGGACTCATGTAAATTACCAAATTAACCTCAAATAAAGCAGCATCCAGAAAGATTTAGTTGTTTAGAGAAAATTGGTAGAGGAGTAAAATTGTGTGACACCTTTATTTGTCTCTTCTTGACAAGGAAATATAAAAAAAAAATGGAGGCATTGGTTGTGTTCTTGTATCTTAATAACCTCACTCCCTCCTGTTTCTAAAGGTTACAATTCCATCTTCTCTTTAGTTTTCATCAAATAATCTTGCCCCTCTGTACATTATTTTTTATTAATATTGATAATAACAACCAACATCAATCAGATGCTTTCCAAAGTCAGGTACTTCATTGTTACTGTTTTCTCATTTTGTGGATGATGATATGGTTTGGCTCTGTGTCCCTGCTCAAATCCCATGTCAAATTGTAATCCCCTCATGTCCAGGGAGGGAAGTGATTGGATCATGGGGGTGGTTCTCCCATGCTGTTCTCGTAATTATGAGTGAGTTCTCACGAGATCTGATGGTTTCATAAGTGTCTGGCATTTCCCGTGCTTTCACTTCTCTATCCTGCTGCCATGTGAAGAAGATCCTTGCTTTCCCTTCCCTTTCCACCGTGATTATAAGTTTCCTAAGGCCTCCCCAGCCATGTGGGACTATGAGCCAATTAAAACTCTTTCCTTTATAAATTACCTGGTCTCAGGGTTTTTCTTTATAGCAATGTGAAAATGGACTAATACAGATGAGAAAACCAAGGAGTAAAACAACTTATATAATTTGCTTGTGGTCACTGCTATAGACTGAATGTTTGTGTCCCCCCAAAATTCACATGTTGAAATACCCAAATGTGATGATATTAAGAGATGGGGCCTTTGAATGGTGATTAGGTCATGAGGGTTCAGCTCTCTTGAATGGGATTAGTGCCCTTATAAAAAAGACTCCAGGGAGACCCCTTCCTCAATCCACCTTGTGAGGACACAGAGAGAAGACCACTGCCTGTGACTAGACAGCGGGCTCCCACCAGACCAGATCTTCCAGCACCTTAATCTTCCACCTTCCAGAAATGTGATAAATAAATTTCTGTGTTGTTTATAAGTTGTCTAGTTTATGGTATTTTGTTGCACTGGCAGCGCAAGCAGACTAAGACACATAGCCAGTAAGTGGTAGAGCCAAGTATCCAACCAGGTTATTCTAAATTCTAGAGCCCATGTGTTAATCATTATACTTCATTTCTCTGATGGCGTAAATGGAAGCTAGAAAGGCAGAAATTTAGTAGTCGTCAATGACTGGCTTTGTCCTAATTTGTTGACCTGATATTTGAAACCTACCATAGGCTAATTTAAATCTGCCTTTGAAACTTCTACTGTGTCCAGTATCATTTTACCACTCTGGTCATTCTAAATTCATTTTTCCCTGTAAAAACTTATTTTACTTTGCCTGTCTAAATTCAGTCCATCTTTTCCATGAAGCCTTCCTTATCTGCAGAGGGACTTCATTCTGTTACACTCCTATATCACTAATTATTGTATTACATGATAGACATAGCTTGTCTTATAGTCTGTAACCTATGTATGTGTGTGAATGAGACATCAGTGTTTGAGATGCAGCAGTGTTTGGCACATGGCTGATTCTGGTATATGTTTGCCTACTTCTCTTATCCTTTAGCATACACGCTAGAAACAGACACACCTATGTTTTGAATCCTAGCAGCTCTATTGCTAGATGTAGGTATTGAGTCAAATCACAAAACTTCTTCATATGTTATCTACAGAAAAGGAATAATTATGGTATCTAGTTTATTGACGTATAGTGAAGATAAATGAGATTCTGTGTCTAGGACATAGTGAATATTAGCTGTCACTATTATAAGTTTTTTTTAGTAAATATTCATTGTTATAAATACATTATTTGTACTGGGCACCATGGCTCACACTTGTAATTCCAGCATTTTGGGAGGCCAAGGCGGGTGAATCACCTGAGGTTGGGAGTTTGACACCAGCCTGACCAACCTGGAGAAACCTTGTCTCTACTAAAAAATACAAAATTAGCCAGGCGTGGTGGCGCATGCCTGTAATCCCAGCTACTTGGGAGGCTAAGGCAAGAGAATCGCTTGATCCAGGAGGCGGAGGTTGCAGTGAGCTGAGATCACGTCATTGCCCTCCAGTCTGGTCAATAAGAGCAAATCTCCATTTCAAAAAAAGAAAAAAAAGGCCAGGCACAGTGGCTCATGCCTGTAATCCCAGCACTTTGGGAGGCCAAGGCAGGTGGATCACTTGAGGTCAGGAGTTCAAGACCAGCCTGGCCAACACAGCGAAAACCCATCTCTACTAAAAATAAAAAAATTAGCTGGGCATGGTGTCGCGTGCTTGTAATCCCAGCTACTCAGGAGGCTGAGGCAGAAGAATTGTTTGAACCTGGGAGGTGGAGGTTGCAGTGAGCCAGATCATACTACTGCACTCCAGCCCAGCCTGGGTGACAGAGTAAGACTCTGTCTCAAAAAAAAAAAAAAAAACAAAAAAAAAAAAAAAGAAAGAAAGAAAAGAAAAAAAAATAGATTATTTGTATTACTGTATTACAAAATCTGTAATTCCCCTAATATACATTATAAGCATTTAGTAAATGTTGAATTGCATTTTTTTTTTTTTTGAGACGGAGTCTTGCTCTGTAGCCCAGCCTGTAGTACAGTGGCACAGTCTTGGCTCACGTCATCCTCCGCCACCTGGATTCAAGCAATTCCCCTGCCTCAGCCTCCTGAATAGCTGGGACTAAAGGAAAGTACCACCACACCCAGGTAATTTTTTTGTATTTTAGTAGAGATGGGGTTTCACCACGTTGGCCAGAATGGTCTCTATCTCTTGACCTCGTGATCTGCCTGCCTCGGCCTCCCAAAGTGCTGGGATTACAGGCATGAGCCACTGCACCCGGCTTTTATTTTATTTTTTTGAGACAGAGTCTTACTTTGTTGCCCAGGCTGGAGTACAGTGGCATGATCTTGGCTCACTGCAACCTCCACCTCCCAGGTTCAAGTGATTCTCCTGCCGCAGGCTCCAGAGTAGCTGAGATTACAGGCGTGAGCTAACATGCCCAATTGATTGATTGATTGAGACAGAGTTTCATTCTTGTTGCCGGGCCTGGAATGCAGTGGTGTGGTCTTGGCTCACCACAACCTCTGCCTCCTGGGTTCAAGCAATTCTCCTGCCTCAGCCTCCCAAGTGAGTGCGCCACCACACCCAGCTAATTTTATATTTTTAGTAGAGATGAGGTTTCTTCACATTGACCAGGCTGGTCTTGAACTCCTGACCTCAGGGATCCGCCCGCCTCGGCCTCCCAAGTTGCTTGGATTACAGGCGTGAGCCACCATGCCCAACTAATTTTTTAATTTTTAGTAGAGATGGGGTTTCACCGTGTCGGCCAGGGTGGTCCCGAGCTCCTGACATTGTGATGCCTCGTCGGCCTCCCAAAGTGCTGGGATTATGGGCATGAGCCGTTGCGCCTGGCCTAAATTGCTTTTTTTAATGTAAATTAAGATTTAATTTACATGCCATCAAATTTACCAGGTTTTAACTGCAGGATTTTAGCCAAGTGCCCTGCTGCAAGCTGCCAGTATATAACATAATGCAGGCATGGGAGGTCCCACTGGAAAGGGAGTTATCCAGGCTGGGAGAAAAACTTGAGGGAAATGGGCACTTGCATGAAACCTTATTGCTGTTCCATAAATCTACCTTCCAATCTTATGAAAAAATGAATATCATCTGAAATTGTTTCGTTTGGTTGTTAGAAAAATATTTAAAATAATTATTTGAATGCTTTAGAAATGAATGTATTGTCATTCGTAGTTAGAATTCAGTTGTGCAGTCTACTCAAAATGAGACAAAATGAAGCATTACTCATGTTTTCAGGTGTATAGGAAACTATCTTCATTTTGGGTGATAGCAAATACAAGTTGAAACATTTACTTTTGGCTAGGTAAAATTTAATGTGAATGTGTTGGCTGTGGATTTTAGTTCCAAATGAGGTAAAAAACTGAATTGTTAAAAGAGTTGCATCTATTCTTTCATAGTCTGGAATCTACCTCACCCTCATTCTTTGTGCTGAGTTACAAATGAGGCAGCAAGATAACAAGTATACCTGTTAAGCAAGTGTATATGTCCCACTGGTTTTTCTTTTTGGAGTTTAATGCTGGTATTTTTCTTTTTTTGAAGAATCTGTTTTGTGAGGTTTTGAATTTTCCTAGCAACTGCTAGGAGAGATAGGAAAGATAGTGAGCTGAATGGCCGGTATTCAACACAAGAATAATGGTGTTCTTTATTTACCTTTGCATAATTTTAAAGAGAGTAAGTTTATTTATCTTTTACTTGTTCTTTCCCCATTGTAAAAACTCAGTAGATGTTACTAGACTATTCTGAAATACAAAATATTCTGAAAAGCATTCTTCTAGTGATATTTCTGTGGTTTCTCATTCATATTTTCTCTCTTGTTACCTCACTTAGAGCACCTGGGTTTTGTAATGGACACTGCTTAGAGTAGATAGAAAACCTGCTTAGAATATTGATTTTCTATAGTTCTTTCTTTTTTTCTTTTTATTTTTTTAAGAGACAGCATCTTACTCTCTCACCCGGGCTGGCGTGTAGTGGCACAATTGCAGTTCACTGTAGCCTGAACCTCCTGGGCTCCCCGCAAATAGCTGGGACTACAGGAACTTGCTACCACGCCTGGCTGATTTTTAAGTCTTTTGAGGGGGGATGTAGTCTCACTTTGTTGCCCAGGCTGGTTTTATACCACTGGGCTCAGGCAATCCTCCTGTCATGGCCTGTCAAAATTCTGGGATTATGGGTATGAGCTACCATGCCCAGCCTTTCTTACAGTTCTTTATCTCTGTGTGAACACTGAACGTTTTGTCATTTTGGAGATCCTCAACATTGGGTCATGTATACTTTGTGAATGTTTACATTGAGTTATTTAGGAGCATCTGGAAGAATGTTCTTGAAAAATTAGAGGAGGGCCAGTCATGTAGGAGGAGCTGAGTTTCTTCAGGGCTCCACCCATCTCCGTGGGGTTGCAGAAGACCTTTGTGCCCTCCAAACCGTATTTCTCTTATGGTTGTTTTGTCATTCTTTCCATCTCATCCTGATTTTATGGCTGACGTGATGAGAATATTCAACAGGTAGAATATGAGATTTAGGAAAAGGGTCTTGACTCTTGACAGCTACACTTCTGAGGTGAGATAATTTTTATGAGGTGAGATCACTTTTTTACCATACTTGCTGCTTTGACTGTTGAATAACAAAATACTGCTCTCATAATGAAACTACTTTGTTTTGCTGCCTTGGGGAGAACACAGCAATAGAAAAATAGCCACATCTTATTCAAGCTCTTCTTGATTTTTGTTTTGGCTGTTTCTAAATTTGACACTTGGGAATAGATGGTTTATTTGACTCAGTATGACCCAGGTATGCTTTTGTTAAAAAGAACAGTTCTAGAAGGGTGACTGTTGGGACAAAATTAGCTACTAGTCTGGGATACTCTTTCAGTGTAAAATCTCAACAGCATTTAAAAATCATTAGAGACATTTTATTCATAAACATTTTCTTAATAAGATCCAGAAAGGGTTTTGAAAATTATTTTGTAGCTAGTTTGGTCTTTGAATAGAAAGACTATGAAAAGTAATGTAACTAATGAAAACTGCAATTACTATCATTGAATGTTCTTTTTTTAGGCAAAACAGTGATGTTTAAAAATTCAAACTAGGGAACTAAATGATCAGTATTTGTTGAGTACATTATAACAACCCTCAGAGAGCTTTCTTAATGTCTGGGATTAATGTAATCCTTTGTTTTTTATTCTGATAGAGATTTAAAAAGTTATTCTCATCTTCAAATTCCAATAAACCTATTTGATAGAGGGAAATAGGAATAGGACACATTGCTTTTTACTTTCTGCACACGTGTGGAAACCGGGGGATCTATTCTCTCCCTCTCAATTTACATGACCATGAGGAAACTGAAACCCAGTGAAGTTAAATGACTTGCCTGGGGACAGCCAGCCAGCTAGTTCCTACTTGAACTGGGGACCATCTATTTGGTTACCGGGAGTGCCTTTGGTTTCTGCTGCCTGTTTGATACTCAGTCTTCTCCTGGTAAGTTTTAGCAGCAAGTGGTACTGGCCACACGACAGCCCTTAGTCTCAGGTAATTCTCCACCCCTCTGCCTTTTTTTTTTTTTTTTTTTTTTTCCAATGCAGTTGCATGGTGTGAAGGCGATAACTGCAGAAACTCAGGTGTCAACAACACCGGGAATCAAACGTTTGGGGGGGATGGTAAAACAAGAGTGTGTAGACATGACTGTGTACAATAGCTTCCAAAGTTTGGGAGGGTATTGGTGTAGCTGTTATTTCTGAGGCTGGAGAAAATGGCAGTAGAGTGACAGTTTCGCTAATCATCAGTTTTCAAAGAGCACGTTTTTCATGAGAACGACAGGTATAGTACACTTTACTACATAAGGGGGAAAAACCCTTGAATTTTTCCCTCCCATACATTGGAAAGTAAAGTAAATTTTAGGCAACATTTTAAAGGTAACAAAAGGTAAAGATTGCAAGGGAGTCCTTGCTCAAGAAAATCTGTGCACTGTAGATAGCTACAATAGAGGACCACTTGGGTTTAGAAATGACGTTACTAATAATTCTAGTCATTGTGGCTAATTAGAATAATCTGTTGAAGGTTATAAATTACAGATACTTTTAAAAACATTTATCTAAGAATCTGTGTAGAATTCTAAAAGGACTGAATTATTTGAAGTTATTGGTTTCTGTGTATATAAACTTAAACTATTTTTACAGCCTTTGATTATTTTTTAAAAAATGTTTTTGTACTCTTATAGCCTGATGCCATAAATGTTTTATGAATTTAATATACAGCACCTCTAGGTGCTATTTAAAACTGTTTTCCTGGTCCTTTTCTTTTGGGTTATAAGGGTTCTTTGTAACCAAGAAGATTACCTATGGTTACACTGAATGCACCCTCCCAGAGCGCGCAGGCGGCTGCCCTAGTGCTATTATAATTCCTGTTTGCCCCTGGGTGGTTGCCAGCAGGGAGTAAGGCATTGTGGGAAGTACTTTCTTTACCTTCCACAACAGGTGTCTTTGTCAGTGCACCTTATTCAGATATCCGTGTGTGGAAGCACTGAGTCACTGTGTAGCAAAGAAAAATATGAAAGAAAGAGGAATTGCTTTCACAGCTAGAAAATGGTGCTGCTAGATAATCTGAAATCTTCTGGTGCTAGTTAATGCATGAAGACGTTCACAGAATCTTTTAAAGTACTTCTAAAAAGATAAGGAATTTAAAAGGTATGAACTGTCTGGACACCTTATAATGCTTTGTCTCCTGATTATCATCTAATTTTTACCTGGTTAGTCAGCGTCAGGATGAATGTGCAGGAAGGAAAATGTTAATGAAAATAATGCTTAACCACAAAGCAGCATTGTAGAACAAAAATGAAGTAAAAATCCTTTACTGGCTCCAACAAGGGTCAAACACAGTTTGAAGCTGTTTTAATCTTGCGGATTTATTTAAAATATTGCTTTTTTTTGTTTGTTTAAATAAGCTTATTAGATTTGCTTGTTTCCTAGCAATAAGGTACTTTTCCCTCCTTCCTTGTGCTCGTTCTTAGGATAAGCTACAGTGCTTTCGCAGTTGCAAAACTACTAATTACATTTAAATGGGACAAGGTGTTATATAAGTAATCATGTTACTGTAGATGAAAGAATACTTTTGGAAAACATGGGAAAATAGACACTATAGATCTCATTCTGAGCTTTGTTTTTTGAAAAGCAAACAAATTTGGACAACATAATTCTGCTATTGGTAATGAAGACTAACCATTTCAACCGGTAGCTTATTTCTTTTGATTTTAGACAAACATTGGCAAATTGATTTCTAGTTCTAACAAATAATATTTCTAATAGTATTGCAGTGTCATGATCTGGAAAAAGCAAGGAAGGTGTTAACTTAATTAGGAATATTGAAAAACAACTTCAGAGAAACCTTATCTGTCTTCCCCTCATTTTTATTTGTTTAATCATTTTCCGTGAAATTAGTATACATTATATTTCCTGATCAGGCAACTTTGTAATAATGATTATGGGCAGCTTTCAAACTTTTCATCTGGAAATATGGCAGTTCATTTAGAGTCTCCAGCTGTAATTTAAAAAACATTGCTGGTGGCTAAGATACCAACAGTTAATGGCTATCTACTGATTTGAATAATTAAACCTCAAACCTTAAAGAGAAAAGATGAAGAAAACTTTTATCTATGGGAGCAAAACAACCGGTTTATAAATGAGACCCTTGTATTGCTTTCTGAATAACAACACAAAACTAAATTATGCTTAAAATACTTATTTTTTTTTTTTAGTAGGAAAAAGGAGTATGATTATTAATTGATATTGCTGTCACTGTTTCATTGTCATGTGTTGTCATTTTTTTCTTTAACAGAAATACTCAGAGGGGAAAAATAATCTTTTTTTTTTTTTGTACTTCAGGATATCATTTGTAACTGCACCAAGAATTCTTTAAATCCTGAGAAATTAAAATGGTTTTCATCTGTTTATTTTCTAAGATTTCGAAAAAGTAAGCAGTAAGAATGCTAAGAAAATTTACTTCTCCAAGAAGAATCTTCATGTAATAATACTGCAGTAAGAAGATGAGCTATTATGAAAATTTTTAATTACCAAGAACATAACACAGATCATTTTTTTAAAAAATTGTTGTAAGATATTTCTAGTTAGGAAACTATTTCTTTTTTGAAGTTTAAAAGTTTCCAAAAATTGAATTTTCCAGCTTCTCTGTTAAGTATGCAGAAGGTGTTTATAGTGTATACTTCCTGCAAAGATAAGAAACCTCCTTTAGTTTCCTACTGGGGGTGAATTGCTAGCCAAGCCTGTGATAGCAGTCGCTTTTTTTTTCTTTCTCTTTTTTTCTTTCTGGATTTTTGACACTCCACCCCCTCCAACTCAGGTGGGTGTGTACACTGGCACTGAGCTGCCGTAGGATTTTTCCCTGGATAGTCTGGTCTGAAGCAGGGACAGCAGCTGCTGCTGTGGAAAGGCCAGCTGGCAAGATGATGGAAGAAATCTCCATTATGGTAGCCTATGACGCCCATGTTTTCAGCCAGCTGCATGATGAAGACTTCCTCACTAGTCTGGTGGCCATCAGCAAGCCCAGGTCTATGGTAGGTGGTGCCTTGCACACTACTCTGGGACTGTTTTTTTCTTTTCTAATATGATATCTATACTCCCGTAGCAACTGAGGCATAACTTGCTGTTGGCTTTATGTTATATCTATAGGCTTTCAAATATTTATTTACATAATTAAACACTTGTATAACAGTAGCACACTTCAAATGTTAGGCTGATGCTTTCATATATAATGAGGTTGAGAGGAATTTTATAGTGCCAAATATCACTTTGTCTTAAGTTTCTGCCTTGTATGTATGTATATAATTATTAGGTAGGGGCAGCTTATATATACATAGAATATAATTCGTGCTCTTAGAAGTGGAACATTTCTACCAGTGAGTCTTAACATCAACTGAGAATTGAGCTACCTAAAAATCAGGTAACTTTCAGGGTCTTAAATTATCACTAAGAAGAACTATTAGGAAAACAACAGTACAATTTTAGTTTGGATTTAATATTTGTAAAAAAAAATTTTACCATTCTCTAAGGATCTTAGTGCCTGTGCATGTCCCGGCATCATCAAAAAATGAAGTTCTTGCAAGTGTTTATTGTTTCTTCTCTTAGACGTCATCATTATAATGGCTATTGAGTTTAAGATATCAACGATCTATACCTTTGAAACCAACTTTTTAACTACAGTTATAGTAACTTCTTGTTTATTATATTTAATCGGACTCATCACAAACAACTTGTTAAGTTTAAGTGTTATGAGATAATCTTTCATTCCATTGTTTGTGATGTAGCTGGGATTACATATGCACAGCAGGCACCAAGTCCGGCTAATTTTTTTGAATTTTCAGTAGAGACAGGGTTTCACCATGTTGGCCAGGCTGGTCTCAAACTCCTGACCTCAGGTGATCCACTCGCCTTGGCCTCCCGAGTGCTGGGATTAAAGGTGTCAGCCACCGTGCCTGGCCCCAAACTTTTAAATAATGCAGACGTTGGGATGTTAATTATAAAGCTTTCTGAAGATATATAGTTATCTTTATCAGGTTTGAAATTTTAAATAATCTTTTGGAGGTAATATTTGGTTTTGGTTCATCTGGAAAAGTTATACTAAAATTATGCAAGATAAAAATATATATCTTTTTTTTTTTTTTTTTTTTTCCATTTTTTGAGACAGAGTCTCACTCTTTCACCCAGGCTGGAGTGCAGTGGCGCAATCTAGGTTCACTGCAACCTCTGCCTCCCAGGTTCAAGTGATTGTCCTGCCTCAGCCTCCCAAGCACCTAGGACAACAGGCACACGCCACTATGCCCAGCTAATTTTTGTATTTTTAGTAGAGACAGGGTTTCACCATATTGGCCAGGCTGGTCTCAAACTCCTGACCTGTGATCTAGCCGCCTCAGCCTTCTAAAGCGCTGGGATTATAGGCGTTAGCCACCACACCCAGCTTCTTTTTTATTTTTTTTAAGATGGAGTCTCGCTCTGTCACCTAGGCTAGAGTGCAGTGGCACAATCTGGGCTGACTGCAACCTCCACCTCCTGCGTCCAAGTAATTCTCCTCCTTCAGTCTCCCCAGTAGCTGGGATTACAGGTACTAGCCACCATGCCTGGCCAATTTTTGTATTTTCAGTTGAGACAGGGTTTCACCGTGTTGGCCAGGCTGGTCTTGAACTCCTGACCTCAAGTGATCTGCCTGCCTTGGCCTCCCAAAGTGCTGGGATTACAGGTGTGAGCCACCATACCTGGCCTCATTTGCTTTTAATTCCATATTGAATTTTTTGCTTTGAGATGAATATTTTAAATCAAATGAAAGAAATACTCAGATTTTCCATAGTATGAAATAAATTGCTTCTCAATCTGATAACTGCACTGTGAAACAAATTACTCTTACTAATTTATAAAATCCTCCTTAGATTTGGGTTGACTATAATTAAGGGTATTTAGAAGCTTCCTTAGTACAGGCTTAATTAAATATCTTTCTGTAATTGGAATTTGTTTCAAAATGGTAGGTGTTTTGATTCATTGAATGGTAAAAATCCCATTAAATACAATGGTTCTCAGGTGTGGCTACTGCATTTTTTTCTTATTCATAAGTAACCCTGTATCTTTCTTATGTTTCTAATGGGACTGTATAATAAAATATACATTTCAAACTGTTACACAAAAACCAAAAGACAATTTGACTAAGGCCTGGGGCAGTGGCTCATGCCTGTAATCCTAGCACTTTGGGAGGCCGAAGTGGGTGGATCACCTGAGGTCAGGAGTTCAAGACCAGCCTGGCCATCATGGTGAAACCCCATCTTTAAAGAAAAAAAAAAGAAAATTTGACTAAACAATACTTACTGTTGCCACATGTTATGTTGCCACATGTTATGTATGTATTTTCTGTTCTATTCAGTTGTTTAAAGGCTTTAATGGTTTATGACCCACTCAGAAATCTCTCTATCCACACTTTGGAAAATATTATATCCTATTCCTTTAAAATGAATGATGATGCAAGAAAATCACAGCTCCCTTTACATAAATTACAGATAAGAAAAAACGATAAGGAAGCCAAGTATAACTTCTCAGGTCTTCCATTTCATACACAGACAAGCAAAATAAGAAATTATGTAGACCAATATTGTTTACTATGGTAAACTAAACAAAAGCCTAGTCACTGCTAGCAGAACGTAGAGTGCAGTGGTGCAATTTCAGGTCAGTGCAACCTCCACCTCCCAGGTTCAAGCAATTCTCCTGCCTCAGCCTCCCAAGTAACTGGGATTACAGTGGCCTGCCACCACGCATGGCTAATTTTTGTATTTTTAGTAGAGATGGGGTTTCGCCATGTTAGCCAAGCTGGTCGCAAACTCCTGACCTCAAGTGAATTGCCCGCCTCGGCCTCCCAAAGTGCTGGCATTACAGTCATCAGCTACCATGTCCAGCCTGAATATCTCTTCTTCTTTTTTTTTTTTTGAGATGGAGCTTCGCTCTGTTGCCCAGACTGGAGTGCAGTGGCTCGATTTCAGCTCACTGCAACCTCTGCCTCCCAGGTTCAAACAGTTCTCTTACCTCAGCCTCCCGCGTAGCTAGGACTTCAGGCATTCACCAACATGCCCGGCTAATTTTTGTATTTTTAGTAGAGGCAGGGTTTCACCATGTTGGCCAAACTGGTTCAAACTCCTGACCTCAGGTGATCCACCTGCCTCGGTCTCCCAAAGTGCTAGGATTACAGGTGTGAGCCACGTGCCCTGCTAAGGTGACCTCACAGTCCAGTAAGCAAGAAAAGCAAAATAAATACTTACAAGGGTGCTATTTGTTATCACAGGGTAGAACCAAGTGGAGAATACTTACCACTTATTTAACAGTGTGAAAGAAGCCTTTAAAAGGGGTCGATGGGTTACAGTGCTTAACTGTGGCTTTGAAGGCTGACCAGGGCTTGCCAGCCAGAAAAAGGGGATAGAACCTTTCTGAGCCAAAGGGAACAACTTATACAAAGACTCAAAGGTTGATAACTATTGGGAGTTTCAAAGTTACCCTGTGCTCAGTTCATTTTAGATTTGCCACTTACCAGTGAGCTGCTTAACGTCTCTAAGCCTTAGTTTTCTCATCTGAAAGCTGAGAGACGTAATAGTACTACCTTATTGGATTACTCTGAGGTTAATTGAGAGCACTTGTAAATATTTAGCATGGTGAAAACTGTAACTAATTGTCTCCTTTTCTAATAAGGGAAGGAAGGGCTATTCAGACTATTTAGAGAAGGTCTAAAGGAAGAAGTGGGATGAATAGATAAGGCACCCTGGAGACGCAGGAGAAGGGGGGACGGTTACCCTGGAGAATTAATTTGCTTGATTAGGGAATCACTATCAGGATATCAGTCCTACAGGAAACTTGAAGACTTCTGCCCTGAAGATGGTGCCAAAGATCTTAGGTTTGAGCTCAGGACAGTGGGAAGGCAATGTAGAACCAATAGAAGGGAGTATATATAGGCCAGATCTTCTGCTGAGTAGATGAGATCAATTACTGCAGCAGGAGTCTTGCAGTAATGGACTGGCAGGGCCCACACTGACCAAGGAAAAAAAAATTGTAGAGGACATCAGAGCAAGGCAAGTGAAAAGAGATGACAAGTGTCTGGACTTAGACACTTGACAGTGGCAGTGTAAAGAGATTAGTCTACACATGTTGATTAGTTCTTTCAAAGGGTATTACGTTAATATTGCTTAGGAAGAAGCAGCAACTGATGTATATGAGAAGAGTAAATGATTAAGTTGAAAATTAAGCTTCCAGCCATACAAAAATGGAGATTGTTATGGTGTCAGCAGTGTTTGGGAATGGGAAAGTTAGGTTATCAAGAATAGAATGGAGGAAAAGTGACCCATTCTGGCTTTACCATGTTCCACATCCAGAAATACAAGGTCACAGTGTCACAGTAGGAGAATTGATTGTCCAGTGGTTAAAACACTGTCCTTTTACAAAAGCCGTTTAACCAGACTAACACATGGCTATACTATATTGGCACTGGGTAGATATTCTTAACTGACAGACACCAAAATAGCAGCACTGTGCCAGCAAAGGAAGGGAGCTTTTTCTTGTAGCTACAGTTTCTCTGTTCTATAAATGGGAGATGAGGGTAAGCATTCTGTAATTACTTCCTCCTTATCGGATTGGCACAGAGATTTCTTCAAGCATGCCAAATTAAAAAACAAAATTCAGAGCAATTCTGTATGTCAGAGATGGGGAAAACAATAAAATCAATACTGTTATTTCTAAATCTTTACTAGATATACATTTCAAACATTGATTAGAATAAACATAACAAGATTCATATTTTTAAAAAATGTTATCTGAATATTTTTTGTTCTCATTGTTACATAGCATGTGCATATTTTGGCAGTACTTTATAAGTTTCAGTTCAGTCCAAGCATATAGCCGATCATTTCATTGATCAGTTCTGATGAGTTAAGGTTCTTATAGTTGCAAGTAATAAAATCTTGTGCTATCTTAAACAAAAAAGGGATTTTATCACGAGGACAACAAGGTGTGTTTCTTTAAATACAAGGGCAGTTTG